CGAGAAAGTTCTGATATCCCTTCTGTTAGATGTGTTCAGAGCAGTACGATAGTTAGATGTTATTATACAGACCACAGCGATACTGAGGGTTAAAACAGGTACCTCCTAATCTTTTTGTAGGGACTGTGTAAGTGTTGTGACATATTCCAGGAGAGCAACTAGTTTCTTGCTGTGTTTGTCTTTCTGGGTTTATTATTATTAGAGGCTCATCTTGCTGTTGGAATGTTTATCCCAGGGTGATCCAATCTGACTCATGGAGGGGCAGGTTCTCATTTGGATTTATGCATTTTGAGAAGGTCCTTTCTCGGAGATGAAATATTTTGTATTAATAAGCAAGTAAAAAGAGAATAAAAAATGAGAGCAGAAGCTCTGCTGGAGAGAGAGAATATGGAAGAAAACAGGCACCAACTGTGAAAGTGCCGGAAGAAAGAAATTTGCATGCATTAGATGAAACTGAAAGTGGGCCAACCCTATCAGCATGTGAATCAAATTGGCAGATGGATACTCACCTGAGAAAGGCCTTGCTAAATAAATGTCTTTGTTCTGAAAATGAACAGCTCTTTTGTTTACAGTTAACAAGGGGCCAATAATGACTGCATTTAAGCTAGAAAACTGGCCCACAAACACAGTGATAATGCAATGAAAGTAAATCAGTGTGTGCTGCTGAATATTTAAATGTTTGAGTAACCTTTGCCTTCGGTTTTACATCTTGCATATCATCCTATTATTACCCTTATTATATCACTTGAATAAACATTGATGCCCAGACAAATAATTCTGTCGCATGTAAGGTGACCTGAAATTGTACATTGAACATAAGTTTTATTTTTATTACATAGGGGCTACATCTAGACTGGCATGATTTTCTGTAGATGCTTTTAACGGAAAAGTTCTTCTGTTAAAAGCATTTGCGGAAAAGAGCGTCTAGATTGGCACGGACGCTTTTCCGCAAAAGCACTTTTTGTGGAAAAGCGTCCGTACCAATCTAGACGCGGTTTTGTGCAAGAAAGCCCCGATCGCCATTTTCGCAATCGGGGCTTTTTTGCACAAAACAATACTGCATTGGCTACACCGGCCCTCTTGCGCAAAAGCATTTGCGCAAGAGGGCTTTTGCCAGAACGGGAGCAGCATAGTATTTCCGCAAGAACACTGACAATCTTATATTAGATCGTCAGTGTTCTTGCGGAAATTCAAGTGGCCAGTCTAGACGAAGCCAGTTACAGATAAATTCAAACACACTTAAAACTACAATACTTCTGTAAATGATCATCACAAACCAAATATTATTTGGAATTTAGGGCTGCATCCACAAAAAGATCTGGGTATTGCATCACTGAACTTTGCAGTGCCTAGCTTTTAGGTCCACAGAAAATCACATCATGAATGGGGAGAGAGGCGCATCTCAATATGATCCACGAAAGCCAGCATGAGAGATGGTAAGCCACCAGAGAGAGCTAATGGTAGATGTTGATAAAAGGAATGAATGCATCTTCAGTCTGGCCTCACCAAGTCAAGAGGATAGATGACAAAATCTGGGCTGTAGGGAGGCAACTAAGAGTGTCTCTCTACTAGCAAGCCACTGCCAGAAACCTGACTCCTGGAGTCAGGCAACTCAGGTGCCTAAATTCTTTCCTATATCAGCTGGGTACCTGACTCATTCCAAACCAAAAAATGACATTGAGGAGACACACACACATCCTTGAGAGCCCAGTCACGATGGTGCTCTCTCAGCAAGGGGCTGAACTCCCTCTCCACACTAGAGGAATCCTCCTCTGGTGACCATGGTGGGTCCATTGATCCCCAATTCTCACAAATAACTTGCTGTGGCTGAAGGTGCCTTAAATAGGCAGACCAGTGCTGGGTGTAGGCAGGGGGAGCATCAGAGATTGTTAGCATGGAGGGTCAGCATGTGGATGACTGGTGCTGACTGGCACTTCCCTCTGGGCAAGTCTCCATAAGAGGGCAGAGACCAAGTGCAGTGCCAGACGTCTGTGGTAGTGAACAAGAGACCTGGGCTGATGTGGAGACCAGAAACACGGCAGCAAAGAACTTTGCGTCAGCTCTGGAGAACAGTGGTGTTCACTTACCTTCTGGGGGGCTCTCCTGACTGGCTGGCCCCCCAAGCCAGCCTATGCTGGGTCCCTCGCTGCCTGCAGTGCCAGGTGCACTGGGATAGCCCTTTGCTCTATGGGTGCCAGGAGCTGGGAACATGTTGACTCCCATAAGTCTAGGTCCCCTACTGCTCCCCAAAAATCAGTGGCAGGTCCCTTGGAGGGTTAGGAGGTTCCCTAGGGCATATGTCCCCCTCGAGGCTCTGGCATGGGTAAGCAGCTTAAACAGGATCACTTAGGTCCTGGACCTGATGCTCTTTGGTCCTTGCTTGGTGCTGGGTCCTACTTTTTGGAGGGGCAACCAATCAAGTGGAGCCAGGTAAAGCCTGGGAATCTATTAGGTTGCACCAAGACTGAAATGCTAAGAACTGTCTCTGAGGCTGGATGGAGAGTCTCTGTTTTTTGGGAACCTGGGATGAAAGTTCTTACAGATACACTTTTATGTCAGATTCCCCCAGGCACTTCAGATAGCTTCCACATGAGTCACTAAGGGTACGTTTAGACTACATGCCTCTGACAACAGCTGTTTGTCGGCTCAGCGCGGTAGTCTGGACGCTCCGCCGTCGACATGAAAGGCATTTGTCAACCTCCCTACAGGGTTTAGCAGTTTTATAGGTCAGTGTACAATTGGGCGTTAGATGCCTATGTAGTTTTATGGATCTTGGCCCTTGTGTCAAATAAGTGAACCACTAAAAACATATCTTATATTACCTTTAAATGGCCACTAATGTATTTAGCAAAAATGTACATATTGTGTTCTCACTCCATGCACTGTAATGCATTAAGTTTTCATCGCACTCAACTTCAAGGTCTGGAAAACATTTGGTTTATTTTCTTAAGTCTTTAAAGCAAGATTGGATGTCTTTCTAAAATAGATGCTCTAACTCAACCAGAAGTTCTGAGCTTGCTGCAGGAATCACTTGGTAAAATTATATATCGCAAAAGACATATATTGGTTATGTTTAAACAATAATATCTTCTCAATAGTTAACCAGAGGCTTATTTTTAACAGCAAGATTGGTATTCTGCTTAAAACTGAGTTAATGTAATTCCATATCTAGGGAAATGGAAATAGCCATCCTTTGATTCATGGCCAGCAACAAAATGGTGATACCAAAGAACTGACATCAGATATGCTCTAGTTCTCCTGTGTAACAACTGCACTCCTCCACAAAATGGGAACACTTTTTTGTTTAATAAAAACAGCTTGTTTATTTTAAAAGTAGAGAGAAATGATTTATGAAAAACACTCCCATAAAAAGAAACTGGAACTAAATTGAAGCCAAAGGCTCATCTTGAAAAAATCTTTTGCAAAGGAGATTGTAAAATGTTCGCATTTCTGCTGAACAGCAATGCATTTCTCTTTGTAAAAGCCATCTTCATTTCAAATACAGATTGGATGTAATCACAACAATAGCTAATGTTGCTCTATTTAGCAGATAGCATAGTATTTTTATTAAACAGTAAAAACAATTACAAATATAGCAATACCACAGTTTATGCTGGCACTTCTTGATTCATATGCCAAAGAATTTTTTTTAGAAATAGAGAATAAATGTATTTTATGTATTAGTCTTATTCAAGTGCCTTTTAAGGCTTTATTAACTGATGTTCAGCATGCAAAAATAAGGGTTTATAATGTGAATGTTAGGAGACCCTTAACATAGTGGAGCATCATTGCAAAATTTGGAAAAATGTGGTGTAGTAACAAATAAGCATGTCCAAACAATTATAACGAAGAAAAGGTAATTATGACTCAGCATACTGTGGAGAGTTGATGAAAACACAATGATAATCACCAATTGGAATTCTACTGTTACAAGCATACTTTCAGAATTAATCTTTTCAGTGGGATTCCAAGTTCAAGGCAATAAAACAAAGATTTGAGACTATTGAAAAATGAGTTTTCATATTCACAGCAACTTGTTTTTAGTTCATTCTGTAAAAAAAGGTCAGGGAGAAACGTCAGTAATAGCAGTGAGGGCAAGCGATAGAACTGACTCAAATTATACTTTGTATAACTCTCCTGCCTACATTAGTATCTTCAAATATTTCTTTATATACCTTGTATCAAAGGGCAGAGCAACGTTTACCAGCTTATTTTGTTTTCTCAGGTGATAAAAATATATTTATCTAACCGTCTGCTCTATTTTGGGGGTCTCAGATTTGTACTAACTGTTGCTACAACTACTGTTTCTGGCTGAAGATAACGTTTCGTGGACTTGATAATTATGTGGAGAACATCTTTATAAGCAAGCTAAGAGAGGCTGGTCCAAGAAACTAAAATCTTCTAGAAGAAAACACTTTAAAAAGTAATATAAAAACAAGTCTCTAAAGCTTCAAATTCTGTTGTTTACTGGTGCAATTTTGTTATGCCTTAAGACAAAAAAAATCAATAATGAATCAGATTACTCAGAGGCTCTGATCACATCTGCCTTCAAGTTTAACTGAGCCCCCAAACTGAAGAACATGTTGGATATGTACTTATACAGTCTGCACTGCCTGTGTGGATATGTTTATAAGGAGACTGAAGAAAAAAGTTGAACATAACACTTATAAGCCTTACTGAAACAGAAAGACATCACTTATCGTTTCAATTGATATTTTAACTGTACTCAGCTTTTTGAAAGTGTTCATATTATGCCAAATGGTAATATGCACTTTTACTTGAGACTCCTTAATTTGCTGGATTTATTTTCAGCTTAAGAGAATAAAACATGGAGGGTTTTATTTATAAAGAAGTATGAAATTTCTCACCTATGTACAGTAATCTGACAGCTCTGCTTGTCAACTACTAAACCAAACTAAGTAGCAGCATTTTTAGATATTATAACTGAAACAATATTTATAAAACATCTAAAGCTAAATTGATTAAAAACAAGATCTCACTGAAATGAAAATCTATTTTATTCACAAAATATAAGCAAGCTTCACTTTCTCTCTCTCCAATGAAAATGCTCTTCCAAAGAAGAAATTTAACAAATGGGTTCTTCAAATACAGTGATTATAAAAGATGTGGCACTAAAAACTAAGTAATCCAATGAACTTTACAAATACAAACTGCACTTTGTACAAAAACTTTTTTAAAAGAAAGTTCAGTAACAGGTTTAAAAATACAGTTTTTGCTGCACAGAAAAACATTTATTTCAGACTCAGTAGGATAGTATTATTTTCGCCTGTGTGGAGAATTCTCCCTTCGTCTGTCCTCATTTTTCCTGGATTCTCTAGATTGGTCAGAATATCGGCTATATTTCTCTGGGCATTTCTCTGCACCATTCCGATATCGATTCTCCTGCTCCTCTTCCTCTCTGGGACTTGAATTATGACGGTTTCTTTCTCTAGATTTTGACCTTTCTTTTCTCCTACTGTGATGTACATTGTCCTTAGTCCAGTGTTTATCTTTTTCATTATCAGAGAAAGAAGTTCTTCTCTCTGCTTTCTTTTTGGAATTACTGTGTTTATTTTCTAAGTCCATATTTCTTTCATAATACCTATCCTTTCCACTCCGATAACTGTTCCTGTCAGTTGCATCATCTTTCTCATGGGGATATTTAGATACATCATCCCTCCTATTTAAATCTCTCAAATTTACGTCAGCATTTCTTTCTGACTTTCTCTCAACTTCGTGTCTCTCTTCCTGTTGTCGTCTCCTTTCTGTTTTCTTTTCAAGTAGCTTCTTTTTACTCCTTTGTTTTTTCCTGGCAACTTTATCTAGTGCTTTATTTTTCTTTTGCATCTTCTTCCTTTTTACTCTAGCAGCATCTGAAAGTATAGCATACATGAGAATTAACTATTTTAAAATTTATTTAGTGTAATTAATTATGCATAATTAGTATTAGAGAATTTTTTGCAAGAAATGTTTTGTGAAAATTTTATATTCTTAAATGCTTGTCTTGCCACAGAATTCAAAATAACGTACTGAAGAGTTTTACGTTTCTTTCTCCCATGTGACTCTCTCTAAAACATGTTCACGGAATCTGCCCAAGCTCTATTAATTGAAGAAAAGGGTCTTATTTTTAAATGGCAGTCTAACACTTTGTTTAAATAATGACGAAACTGTCTAAAAGAAACCTAAGGAAAAAAATCTGGTAAACTGGCTATCGCTCTCAAGATTTCCCCATAATTTATCTCCTTGTTTTCTAGGTTTAATTACTGGCCTGTATGTCCACTTGGTATATTAATATAACAACAAAAAAATCCACAAACAATTTTATTTAGAGACAGGAAGATTGCATATGGACAAACTGCACCCACCCAAAATTTTAAACGTTTGGAAATAAAGGGAGTCTTCACATTCCATCCAACGTACATCTTCCACTTGTATCTCCAAAAGATAACAAAACGAAATACCTACTCTAACTTCATGAAATGTTCACTGTAATATAACCTTACCAGAAAACTCAACATTGTCAAGGCTAAGAAACTTCCCAAATACAGGCAATATAACAGATGTACTGATTCAAGAATTGAAGGATTAACCATCAATTTCCCTTAGCATCATATTTCCTCTATTTTAAGCTTCCAAGTGCAATGAGAATGTTTTGATGAAACCTTACCAATCATTAAGCAAAATTAGTTTGTGTTAAACGGCTAAGGAACATAGGAGAAGCAAGAGTATGAGGTTTTAGCCAAACCTGTGCAGATGTGGTGGCCACCCACAGAGAGGATAAAAACTTTGATGACATACCGTGATACTCCTTTGCCCTCCTGTGCTAGAGGCTTGCATTTTTGAAGCTGATAGACCTGAGTTCCATCCCTCTTGGTGACCACACTGTGTCCATATATACAGCACATGTATTTATTACAATGATTAGTGCAAAGCAAACTCTTGGTGTGACTAGAGAAAGCAGGACCAATACGCAGATGCCCAGGTTAATACACAGAGTCAGTGGCAGAGATCTAGATCCCAGGAGTCCTGACTCTCAGATCACTATTCTAACATTCTAGAGCACACTACCTATCCTGAACTAGGAAGAAAACTCAGAAGTCCCAGATCCTTATCCTCAATGAGATCAGCATTAACATACTCATTCCTTCCATTAGCATACTCCTCCTCCCTGAAAAGTCCCTCAATTCCCAAAGTGACTGAGGTCTGCTTAAGTTATCTTGAGTGGAAAGAGAGGGAAAACACAAAAATGCCATGACAGAGCTAAGGGGATGGTATTGAAGCATGGGATGGAAGTGAGTAGTGGATTATTCAACTACCTGATAAGCTTATGCTTATTGGGTAGTCAAATGGAGTTCTTGACTATTCGCTTCCTGTCCCCCCACCTCTGTATGACAGTCAGTAAGGTGGGGGAGGGAACAGGAGCCAGTCCCCTCCTACTCCCCACTGCCTCCATCAAAGGTGTAGGGGGGGGAGGAGATGGCAGCAACCCTGGTCCGTGGGGATCCCAATGGGGAGCTGTCCCCGCCCCCCTCCCCAGCAGACAGGGGTTGCTGCCACCAAGCAGACCCTCTTCACGGTGGTCCCAGCTGGCTGCAGGAAGGGGCTCCTACGGCAGCAACCTCTGGCTGCCACGAACAGGGGCTGCTGGACCCAGCACAACCTGGATCGGGCAGTCCCGGCTCACGCCAGTCCAGAACACTGTCTCTCTGCATTTTAAATGTAGTAAGAGCTTGACAGCTCTTATTATATTTAAAATGCAGAGCCACAGTGGTCCAGAGCCGGCTTGAGCTGGGACTGTTCAGTCCTGACTCCAGCCAGCTCCAGCTCTGTGGGGGGCCCCCCCATATCGACTAATCGTGTAGTCAATACAAATTGTATCGACTAAACAATTGGCCACTTAATCACAATTTAACTCTCTTAACTGAAGCAACATGATAGCAAATCCGAGACCCATTTCCAGATGGCTGGTTGCTGCTGGTGGGCACCCTGGGTTTGGTCACAGCACCAAGGCACAGTCTATGACCACCAAATAATCCTAAACACGAGCTTCATCCTGCCTTAGACTGACCAGTGCCAGCAGCCTTTCTTGTGATTCCCCAAGTCCCTGCTCCCACTCTATTCACAAGTTCAAATGCTCATTTTTGTGCAAAAAAGTGATCTCATATGCTCTTGCCAGAGTTGTCTTGTCCATAAGGTGGTTCAGGACAAGCACTCCAGGCCCCATGCCTTAGGTGGTTCCATATTTCAGGGGGACATGGAATTGTGGGGTCAAGGGCAGCCTAGGGGATTAGTGCTGAGACTTTGCATCAGAGTGAGTTTGAAGAAGTGAGGACATAGTGCTTTAAGAATCTGTTGCAGCTGAAATTAAAAGCCTTAGAGAGTGCTAGAAGTGTGTTACTGATAGCACTGAGCCAATGTGAGTGAGGCAAGAAAAGCTAGAGTCTTTTACCCTTATTTTTATTCTTTTAAGGGGTTAGATATGTCTTGATATAATCTTAACAGTCAGTAGGCAAAGTTTTTATTTTTGCTATGATTCCTTAAGGGCAGCAATGACAATACAGCTAAAAAAGGTAATTATGTTGCTAACCTGGAAGGTGTATCTCTTTCTCTGCATCCCACTAAAAAAATAGGTATGCATGTTCTACATTTATATCACAGGGAAGCGAAGCTTCAAATAATGTCTAGATTTCCAAACAAATTTTATTTTCCCAGCCTACCAATATCTATCGATCAAGAATCTTTTTAGTATTCAGTGGAATAAACAGACATGGTAGACTTTTCCAAAATCATGGATAGTGCTATTATGGTGATTGGTCACTAAAGGAAGGGTTTGAAGGACGAGCTGCAAATAAAATACAAACTTCACATCAACAATACGCACTGAACATCCACAAAGACCAAGAGCACTATAAAGAACACAAGTGAAAAACAAACTTTGTTTTTTTTACTCTGAGCATTGATGTATCACACTAGCCAGCTCTCTCTCTCTCTCCTATATTTTGAAAGTATCACATCTACCAAGGATACATGAATTAAGGATGTTAAATTTAGATTAGTCAACTAAATCGAATAGTTGATGTAATTTGCATTGACTATTCGATTAGTCAATAAGGGGACCTCTGGCTCTTGCTACATTTCAAAGGTTGAAATGCCGCCGGGAGCATGGCTAGCAGGGGACTCAAACAGTCTCCCCGCTGGCTCTGCTTTTGAAATGCACAAGAGCCCTTATACATTTCAAAAGCAGGAAGTGTGGGGCAAGCAAAGGACTGTTTGAGTCTCCTGCTGGCCCTGCGCTCTCAGTGGCACTTCTGTGGAAGTGTTGCCAGTTCCCCGCTGCGCCCCTGCCCCTTCTCTTCATGGAGACGGTGCTGGGGGGAACCGGCTTTTATGCTTTCTTATCGCAGTACCGGATCCTGCTCCCCCCCTCTCCCTTGCTGCCTCTCTCTGATGAAGGCAAGGGGTGGGGAGGAAGAGGGAGAGCAACTAGTCGCTTAAGATCCGTAACATGAATACCTTTTATTTTAGATCAAATAACTTGCATTTTACATCAGCTGCATAACCTCTCATGTGGAGATTGAGCAGTGCGACCTGGGCTACTGCTTCCCACAGGCCAAGGGGAGCCATGAGGTTCCGTGGCTGTGGAGCTGGTAAGTAAACAAACCGGAGCGGCCCAGTAGCAGCAATCTCAGAGTGGGTCCATGGATCACTTTGAGAAACACTGAGATAGAGGTTGCTGGTGTCTCTCTGATGGCATGTTTAAAACCAGTCCAAAGGGATTGAATTCAGTAAGAATTTACATGTTATATTTTATTTTTCATTATTATAGCTCTACTGGAGTATAAAGATAAAACAGAGGCCTTGGAAAGTAGTTTAATAGATTAAAAATGTTACTTATTGATTATGAACAAATTTAATGCTCCCTCAGACAACCCAGAGTCCTAGCTGAGCTGGCAGAGGAGACATGGGGATAGGGGGCACAGTGAACGACAAATTCAGCATTTGTTATGTGTTCAGTGCCCTCTTTCTCTGTTCAGTACATAATGCCGAGGCAATTTAATTTTTTTTTTAAGTTTACCTTGAAAATTTACCTGAAGACCAAGAATGCCCTTTCCTAAATACATACATACATCTGGTTCCCTTTCTTTGTTGTAAGAAACATGGAATTTCTTTAGTTCCTGGCCCATATGCCATCACATATGCAGAGTTTCCGTCAACACAGGGATCACAAAATCTTAGATTCTTGATAAGGAACAGACTTTTGCCTAGCAACATTTATGTACCAGGTCTAACTGCTAGACCATTACTACACCAGTAAGACAGCTGACAAATACATTCCGCTGGGAAATGCTGTCTAGAAAGGAACTCCTCATTAGTGTCTATAAAAAGATGTAAAAATGTGAAAAATCTGAGTTAACAACCATTAGCCTTTGCTTTCTAGTAAAATTGTGAAGTTTAAACCTTTAGAGAATACAAAATTACAAAAAATAAATCTGATTATCTCACAGAAGGATTATAATTAACAATGTATTTAGTTATTTTTGCCATAGTCCTGCTTCTAGCATACATAAATCAAAGCATACTGCAGAGATTATTGAAATGCATGTATTAATCTGTTCTGAATGGAAAAAGGACAAAGTATTAGAAGAGAGTGTTGTTTTACAGAAAAGCATGTTCACTCTAGCAGACTGCAGAATCAGTTGGTTTGTCACTAAAGACTTACCACTCTGGTTCCTATCAAGCAGCTGAGCCAAGCTGCAGCTGTCTATGCAGAAGCCATCTGGTCTTTGCTGAACTTACGCCTCTCTGACCCGGTTAAACTGGTCTCGCCACTAGTGCTTTGATGTCATTAATGCAACAGCTTTACAGTGATATACAATCAAGTCACACTTCATAAACTAAATACATTTCTAATACATCAGTAATTCACACTGAATGTATACTTGTTTTATTAAATCATATTTTTTGCTATTAAAATCATACTAAATCAAATAAACATTGAAACAGCAAGCTTCCTAACTACAGAAGTTCATGCTGTGCTATCATCTGCTCTCCCACCATGCTATGTGAGACTTAAGTGCTCTAAAGTAGACTAGCAGATTTATTTTAGGTTAACGATGTTTATTATACTTCACATCAAATAGATTTCACATCAGTACTTATAAAAAGACTAATTCTAATGTATTAAATTATTTCATAACAATTATCAGCAAGTTTAATTTTTCCTGAAGAATTGTCAAGGGACAGGAACCTTGTATAATAGCAGACCATACTGCTTGAGAGCAACAGGAATGGGAAATGAATTCAGAAACCCAGATCTGCAAGAAGCTGAATGAATTGCAAAGAACTGAGCAATCTCTTATTTAACACATGAAATAGCACAACTGTGGTTACAGAGAAGGAAGCAAAAAAAAAGGATTGGAGTCCAATGGATACAGCAAGAAGAGTCGCAAGACAAGCCTACAAAAGTGTTGTTAATCTTTACAGCTCACAGTCTTGCCAAAAGGACACTGGTGCCAGATCATTAGTTATAAAAAAAGGTCTGGAAGACTTAAAGTAAATTGGAATCAAGCCCACAATTTGGTGGAGAGGAGAGGGAGAGAGAACAGATGTGGGGGAAAAGGGGCAGTTGCTCCGGGGCTCAATGATTCAAAAGGGCCCAGAATTTGCAGTGGCAGTGACTGGAGCACCAAGCCCTTTAAATTACTGCTGGAGCCTGCACAATGCACTGAGGGCTGCCGAGGGGAGGCTAGCTTCAGTCCTGTCCATTACAAACCCCTCTCCTCCCCCCTTCGCCGCCTTGCCCAGGGGTCTTGCCCTTAGAACAATGCAGAGCTTTTGGATCTCATTAATGTGTAGGGTAAAGAACTGGTGCAATCCCAACTGCAATCGGTCACACTGATTCACTTTATGCAATAGATGCACAAGTTTAAGGATCAGCCTCCAATATGCTATGCTCCTTAAAAATACATTTTTCAATCTTTGAAACTAGAGATGTAAATTAACAGGTTAAATGATTCAACAGTAATAGTTAAACCAGTTAACTGTGCAGCTGGGGTCTGGCCAACCTGCTGCGGGCGGAGGGTTCCTTCAGCCCAACTTTTCATGGCCTGCTCCGGTCAGCTGGGGTCCTGTGGATCACAGATGGGGGACTGCTCGGGACAGCTATGGGCCCACCATGCCATAGTAAGGCTGTTCCCTCTTCCTGGCACTCAAGTTAACTGGTTAATGCTTACCGGTTAACCTTTTACATCACTACTGGAAACAACTCAACATTATAACTTCTACAGTAAAATTATTATGGACTGAAAGCAATTTGTTTTCTTCTAAGATTTCCAGAATTTTTTTCAAATTACTGTAACGAGTTTTAAAAAGTAGAGATTTAGTAATAAATAATTAAATATCAGCTGTAGCTAGTTCCTCACGGTAAGTGTATCAGTGCACACAGTAAAAAGAGAATGAGATAAAAGCTAGATGTCATTTAATACCTGAGTCACTGCTATGGCCACTGCTAGAAGAGGAGTCACTGCTACCAGTTGATCCTGAGCTATCATTGCTGCTGTCAGAATCAGAATAGGAATCAGACTCTGAGGAAGATGAGCTATCTGATGACTCAACATCTTGTTTTTGTGTCATGATCATCTTTGGAGCATTTTTCAGATGCTCCCGTAATTCATCCCTAATTAGCAACAAAAAACAAACAATCAATCTCAATTTCTAAATACAAGTCAAGCAATGTCAAATCTGGATTAAGTCTAAAAAAAGGTTTCTTACGTTAGTCCTCCAAGACCAATGGAAGTGAAAAAATTGATAGCAAATCGAGTGTTTCTTGGGTTGTCCCGAGGTAATAATCCTTCAAAGAAAGGTTGCAATGTTCTGATAAAAAAAAACATTGAAATTAAATACAGTACCACGCAGCAAACTGTTCTTAATATTTACATGCATTTGTTAAAAAATATATCATAAGAATCCCACAGGACAAAAAAGGGCTTTGTTCATACATTGCCTTTTAGGGACACTGCAAGAGATAAAATAAGTCATGTTTCTGGTGGATCAGGCAAAGTAAGTGTTCCTTTTAAAATGGCTTCAGAAGCATGTGGTTTCATAAACAAAGATATAACCTTTCCCTGTCAGATTATGACTTTAAGGGCCTGATTCAGTAGCAGCTCTCCATGTAGAAATTCCATTGAATTGGGCCCTAAGGCAGGTCAAAGTTCGGGCTCCAATTAGTTTTGAGTTCTTCTTAAATTTAGCTCCTAAAAAGGAGTAAGCCTTAAATCCTCAAGAAATAACTTGAACAGTTAGAAGGATCCTCACTGTTGTGTAAGTAGTGGAACGTATACACATAAGAGAATGCATTAGTCTTGTGCTTAAAATTAAGCAATTTTCTAAATACAAAGTTAATATTTTGAAGTCTCCTGCAGATCTGTCAGGAAAAGGCTATCCTGACCCATGCTCTTCAGGAATTATGCTAAATTACATAAATAAGTGTGCTTCAGCTTAGGAACTTAGTATTGAAGTTGAAACAGCCATGAATCAAAACCAAGAAAATACATGCCCCTATCCTGAAATGTTTATGCACGTTTAACTTTACATGCTGCGACTAGTCACACTGACAACAATGTGCATACACACACGACTTCTGCAAAATCGGGGCCATAATTTATGTACTTTTTGCTTTGTTGGCTTTCACTTGAAATGGAGAATGTATTTACTCTTACAGAGTGAAAGCATTCAAAGGACGACAACAATAAAATTTAAACATACTCATCCTTTAATCTTGCATTAAGATTAGGCAGACCCATGTATTCACTAAGTTCTTGGAAGAATATTTTGACAAAAATTCTACTGGATGATGTAGTAGTTTCTTCACTCAATACTATACATTCAAGGACCTGAAAATATTAAGAAAAAACACAGTTTAAATACATACACCCAATTCTATTTTTATTTTTACAGAACTAAGTTCAGCCTTTGGCTCATATATAGAAGTAGCATCATTCATTTCAAGACTATATATAGCAAGGTAGTTTATAAGACTGTCAAAACTACACATTGATTTAAAAAAAAAAATCAGACTTAGTAGTTTAAGTTAGGGATATTAAATTTAGATTAACTAATTGAGGAGATGATGGGATTACCATTGACTATTTGCTTAGTCAATAAGGGCACCTCCGACTATGAACTGTAGCAAGAGTCCTACAAGGAGTACAGGGCCAGCGGGGGACTGCAGCGCCTCAGCCTTTGAAATGCACAAGAGCCCCACTGGGGCTTTTGTACATTTCAAAACAAAATCTCGCAGGGAACGGGACCAGCAGGGGACTCTCCCGCTGACCCCAGGATCCCTGCAGTGCCTGAGCCTTTGAAGCGTACAAGAGCCCTGGTCAGGGCTCCTGTACGTTTCAAAAGCAGAATCATAACAGAAGCTGTGAGAGCAGAGACTGCTTCAGTCCCTGCTCGCGCCATTTCCCATTGTGCCTCTACCTCCCCGGCTTATTTCTGAGCACAACTGACTAGGTATTGAAGAAAGAGGCTGGGATAAAGCCCTTCTCTACTTACACTCCAGGGAAGTGAATCGGTGTACAGAAGATGAGCAAACATCTTGGCTACATTTCTCAATTTGTTTGTTTCTAAACGGTGGATGGTATCATACTGTTCTTTGAAAATAGCTTCAAAAGATTCCATGTATTCTTTTTTTAACATGCAGAAACGCTGAAATAACATTGTACAATTAAAACAATCATATTAAGTAGAAGAGAACATTAAACAAGAATACTTTTAGAACTAAACATTTATATACAAGTCTTTCCTTTTAAAAGGGAAGGAAAGTATCTTTAAATGGAATGTACAGATCCATTTATTACTGTCAGCAGTTTTTTAGACTAAACTAATCTTGCATTAGAAAACAGTAATTATCAATTCTGACATATTACTAGATGAGGTAATTTCATTTACCTCATATCTCCTTGTTTCTAGTATTCTTACCTGATGGGATCCCTTAATACAGCAATTCTCAAACTGCGTGTCAGGACTGCAAAGTGGTTCATAACCCTCTTTAAATGGAGTTGTCAGACTGGCATAGACCTGCTGGGACCCAGGATCAAAGTGTGGCAAGGCCGCAGGTTATAGGCTGCCTACATAGGGCAGAAGCCTTTGAGCTTCAGCTTTGGCCCCTCCCCTGCCTGCAACAGTGAGGCCAAAGCTTTGATCCTCTCTCCTGGGGTCACAGTCATTTTTGTTGTCAGAAGGAGGCTGTGATGCAATGATCTTTGAGAACCCCTGCCTTAATACAATACCACAGGACACAGTATTTTAAATTACACCATTACAAGTTTATTTGAAACTAGAGAAGTAGAGGGAGTTAGTGTCAGAACATTTCAGACAGAAACAGCCATTCTGAGAAATATAAAGAATGCACTTGGTTACATAATAGTCCTGGACACTGAAATATTTTCAGTGGTAACCTGTAAAAAAGTACTGTTAATTTATTCTTTAATAATCCAGGATTATTATGGAACCACTTCTTATAACCTGTTAGTGGCACATTATAAAAGTAATTGTTAGTGCTAGCTGAATAACAGAAATTAGTAAAACTTCCGTAATTGTACCTAACCCTTTCAGGACATTAAAAAGGACCTTAAGAACTTAGGTATAACTTTAGAGTAAGATACACTGAAATTAGTGGTGGAGTAAGAAGGAAAACTGATAAATAAATAAATAATTGCAATGAAAGGTATATCTACTTTTACACAGATACAAGAATAAGAAGAAAGCCAGATTTGTTTCTTTTCAAATGTTGCAAGAATAAGTCAAATCATCCTAATAGTTAGCTAAACTATCTCAGCAACCTTAATGAAGTAGAAAAACAATGTAAAACTCCAACTCCTGCGAGAAATTTTTTAACAAAGTACTTTGCACTTATATAGTACCATTAATGCTATGCATTGGCCACTGAACATCCTTCTACAACAGGGGTGGGAACCTATGGCCCCTGTCTTGCCTGGATCCATCCCCCGAGGCTTGGGGCTCCCCCCTCTACCCTGGGGAGCCTGCACTGGCACTCTAGCACTCCTGCTGTTCCACCTTGGAGCGCACAAAATCTACTTGCCTGGGGATCAGCGGCTCCCAACCCAAAAAAGGTTCCCCATCCCTGTTCTACAAGATAACATTTTAAAAAAGGAAAACGTGCACTCCCATTGTGTGTTTACTATGAATGCTCATTACCATTAATAGATAATCCGACCACATCAGCTCATATAAACAAGTTCAGAACAAAAAAGCCACACAGAATTAGGACTTACTTGTTGTAAAATATCAGCTACTTATATGAAAACTTTTAGTGTCACATTACACTAATTATGTTTCTTGCTGTAAAATTTGAAGATTGAAAATGGAACTTACCCCTGCCAGTAAACCAAAGAATTTCTCGTATGTTCTTTGTTGAGCACAACAGTCAAGGATCATGTTGCAAAGCTCTTTCTGTTTTAAAATAACACAAAAATTCCTCTACATAAATTCTCTGTAGCAGCTGAAATCTGCTCCATATATGCCAAAATATTAAAGAGCAATTGTCACATGAATGCCATCTTTGAAACAAGAACTTAATTTTTGCTGAAAAAAGTAGAAGGGGATAATTTCAGTAGGTTGTGTTTTTGGGTTGGTTTTTTTTTTTTTTTTTTTTTTTTTTGCATTTCTACTATTTTGGAAGGTATTTGGGACTTGGCTATTAACTTTCTCTATCCAAACTTCTCCATCTGCCCAAACCTGCAAGGAAGACTACACTGGCTTATTCAAAAGCTTCAGATGAGTAGCCATGTTAGTCTAACTGGAAAAACTTAAACAACAAATAGTCTTGCAGCACCTTAGAGACTAAAAAAAAACATGTAGATTGTATCATGAGCTGTCATGGGTACAACCCCCTTCTTTATGCCCATGAAAGCTCATACTACCATCTACATGTATTATTAGTCTCTAAGGTGCTGCAAGACCATTTGTTGTTGTTTAAGTTTTTACATTGGCATAGTTATGCCTGCGTAACCCCATAATGCAGATGCAGCCTAACAAACAAAAAGAGCTTTTCTACTAGGAAGCCCACCTCCACAAACGATATTAACTTCACAGGCAGAAGCACTCTTCTGCTGACATAGTGAAACTATGTTGGAGGGGGAGAGGATCATGTCAGCACAGCTATGTTAGTTGGGGTGCCTTGACTGATGTTGCTATAACTTTTGAATGTAGACCATGCCAAAGTCTCTGCAGGATTGAAGCCTAAAAATATTTGCTCATACATGAGGGGTAGCCTTGTTTTCTGCAAAAATGAGTGCTATAGCACCCTAGAGACTAACAGATTGATTTATTTATTCCAGATTAATTGGAGAGAGTTTCAGAGTGTACTTGTGTAAATGAAGCTAATCAAGTCAGGGTGGAAGTGGCTCATTCACAGTAAATGATGTAGAAATGTGGTCTCAAGAGAGGGGAAATTGCCTTTGTAATGCGTTAACCAGTTAAGATTCTTATTCAAACCTAAGTTGATGGTACTGAATTTGCATATGAATTCCAGTTTAGTTTTCTCCCTTTGTAATCTGGTTTTGAAATTCTTTTGTAGGAGGACTGCTACTTTTAAATCCATTACTGAATGTCCAGGGAGGTTAAAATGTTCTCTTACAAGTTTACATATGTTACAATTCATGATGGCTTATTTGTGTCCATTTAACCTTGCTCTATGCCAGGCCTGGGCAAAATACAGCCCCCCATGCCACCGGATCCAGCCCGTGGAGGCAGCAGGGAGCCCCAGGCAGGCTTCCTAGCTAGCCTCACAGCACTGTGCAGAAACACGGCTGCAGGGCTCCATTTCTGTTTTAAAACAGGAGGGGGGGGGGATTAGGAGGTGCTCCACCACCACCACATTCTCATTGGCTGGTTTCTGGCAGAAAGCGGCCAATGGGAGCGCAGGCTCCCCGGCTTACCCCAGAGACTGCTCAGAAATGGGCCCTGTTTCTGTTGCAAAACTGGAGGAGAGAGGGGGAGGCTTCAGAGCTGCCCCCGTCCCCAGCACAATAAGAACAGGCAGCCAAAAAGAACCACGCCCTCTCTCCTCAGCTCGATGATTCACTGAATCACATGGCCAGACAAGCAGGTAAGCTGGCTGGCTGGGAAACGTTTTAAGTCCTGCAAGCTTTAGCTCTGCAGACAGGCTGACTGGTAAGTCTCCTGGCCACAGCCTGCCTCTGGCACCCCAGGCCCTCCCTGCCCCAACCCTCAGCTCCCCCCACAACATACCCAAACCCTCTGTCCCCCTCTTACACCCACACCCCCTCCCAGATCTGGCACCCCAATCTCCTGCCCCAGATCACAATCCCCCCCTACACTAGGTCACATCCCAAACCCCCGCATTCCAGTCCCCTGCCCTAGGTCACAGCCATCTGCTTCATCCCAACTCCCTCCCAGACTCCAGTCTCTCTCCTGCACCCCAGTCCCTTACCCCAAGCTCCCTTCTGCAGACCCTGCATCTCCTCCATTAATATCATGGAAGAGTGCAGTCCTCGACCACTTTTCAAAATTTTGGAGTGGTCCCCCCATCAAAAATTATTGCCCACCCCTAATTTCTATGCCAAAAGGTCTATAAGTACTTGCTCAAAATTGACAAGTAACAACAACAAAAATTTTCCCACATCAATAGGGAATAAATATATTTAATCTCCTCAGCAATTTAAAAAAGTGAGAGAAATCTGAACAGATTTATGCTTTAAATTTGGGAAGTTTTATAATTAAATCTGTTGCCATGTACTCCCATTCCTTGTATCATGAGAGCATATAGGAAACATTTTTCTCATTACACAGCTCAAACATAGTAACAAAACAAATATGAATAAGTAAAAAATAAATATATTTAGTGTTAAACAATAGAAGGAAACAAGTAACATTAAGCAAGTATTATACCAAAAAAACCATACAAATTTATTTAAGGCCACTTTTTCAATATAGTCACACTATTAACTCGATATATTAAAATGCATATTAACTTTTTTATATTACCCTGTTTTACAGTAATGCTGTAATCAGTTTTCAAACAATAAAGCAGGGCAGAGTGCTGAAGCCATTGCTAATAAAGTCGGCCTGACTTGCAAAACCAATTACTTTTCCCTCATATTAAATGCAATTACAACTTTGATATCCCTTGTGGTTTACAGTAATTAAATATTTTAACATTTTAATTAAATATTACAATGATTTCTAGGAGAATATCTTGAATAACCATATGCATGAAAATAGATTTATCCACAAAGACATTCTTGCTTGTGTTATCAAAACAAGTTGAGGTTAGGTCTAGAGTAACTGTCTTCTAGATTAAAAATTAACAAACTTTGAAATGATTTAATTAAATTTTAGAGAGATGTGACAAGTTCACATAGCAATTTTAACTTCAATTATAGCTTTAAAGGTTACTTCACTAGTTTCTTCACTCATAACAACACTTCTGATAATACCTGACACCAACAGTCTGAACTTTAAGTCCATCATTTGCTTTAAAAAGCTAGTGAATTTTAATTTTATAGACAATTTATATATCCTATATCTCAAAGGTTTTTACATATTAATGCACAAATAGCATGCAAACTTGACTATCATCAATATTTAAATGATAAGAGAATACACATAGCTTTTCAATAATGAAACACACCTAAGTATTTCAAAAGTGTTTAAGAGCTCTCAAGGCCCATATATGAAGTTAATGGTTTATTTCTGTGAAGATCTTTAGCTCCAGATGTGGTTTTGGCTTGGAAGTGTCTCCATGCCTAGGTGGTTGAAAGGTAAGTTAGAACGAACGGACAGACCAACAGACAGACAGACCCCCCACATCACTCTCCATTTATACTTCTATCCTATAGAAGAGTAGTTCTCAGCCACGGATCCAGCAGCAGGTTTCAAAGGGGTCACCAAAATAAATAAGTGAGCAGGGCTCTCTTTAGGCAAGCTGGGACCCAGTGCAAAAAGCAACAGCTGAAGTCCTGACACACAGGAATGAAGCCTGAGCAACTTAGGGTTGCAGAGGTGTGTGGAATTGCTGTGCTTGCTAGCTTCTAACACCAACCCTGGCTTTTAATCTACTGGATATGGAGAAAAATAGCTGCAGTGGGCAATTCTTATAACATGTTGGGAGCTAGGAGGTACCTCAAAAAAACAAAAAAACAAACAAAAAAAACCACCAGGGGCAAAGGAGAAAATTATTTTTTTCTACTTATTCAGATATTAATATATTTTTTATATTTATTTTTTATTTAAATATTAAGTCTCAGCTTTGCAAGTTGATGCAGTATCTTATGGTTGGAAACTGCATGACACTGGACAGCTTGTTTCCACACACTATTGCACTCTTAACTAGAGCTGTATTTTTAAAACTGATCAAAGTTTGTGTGTAGATATTCCTATTTCAGATCAAGAATGGTTTATTTTGGTTTTGTTTAATCCTGGTTTGTAAAAACATGTAAAGTCAAGTGAAATAAGCCACTCCTTAAATGGAAATCAGAGTAATGTCACAAACTTGAAATGTAAACATACAGCTCTAGTTGAACAGGTACAGACCTGTTTAATTACAAGGACTTAGTATTTGCCAAGTACCCACTCTGCACTCCTTAAACCCACTATTTTCAAAAAAACGTTCCTCTGTTGATCTGCTCTGTAATGGACAGGAGAAAGCTGGCCAGCACCCAGTGACCAAGGGTTAAACTCAGGTAGCTTGCAAGAGGGTTAGCAGGAAGCCAAGAGAACCTATGGAAATAAAGTGCTGAAATTTGAATTGTATAAGGTTTTGCCTGCTTTCTTTGTGGGGGAAGAGATAAACCAGGAGTTGAGAGACAGAGAATGATTCAAAGCCAGGCAGGACTACCATGCCTCCAAGGAATCTGGGGCATGGAAGTGGACCGAACCAAGAAAAGACTGGGAGTAAGTAAAGGGAAAAAGTGAATCTAGTTGTGAGCAGATTATTCTCTTTATTTTGTGGTTTGATTTGAACTGCTCTGTGTGAATCTATGCCTCCCTCTCCATTTACCATCGAAGCATTGTTTCCAGAGATTTTGTTTGTTTTCTTTAGTTGCTCTGTAACATCTAGCAACCAAGTATGCTTTATCAAGTATATCTTTTGTTTTGTTATAAAAATCACTTTTTAAAGGTGATTATTTGATTCTTGTGTTCTGGAAGGTACAGGAGATCGGTCTGTCTGCATGCCTCAGACCAAGAGGTCAGCTACCAGAAACTGCAGCTTGTTTTTCCTCTTTTCAAGTTTTTTTGAGGCAAAAAAGCTTGGAGTACCCCTGTGGGTGAATTCAAGTGTTCATCCCAGTTTTTAGGGATAAAAAAAAAAAAAAAAAAAAACAGCTACTCCTGCCCCAAATCTCTGTATTTCTCATTCTGGGGGAAGTTTTTGTAACCAGTGTCTGTAGTAGCAAGGGATATTTAAAGTCTTTGCGGACACCCACCTT